ACTATGTGACATTTATAGATGACCATACCCGTTGTACTTGGGTCTACCTTTTGCATAAGTCTGATGTACTCCCTGTCATCACTCAGTTTCTCTAGATGATTAAGGCACAATTCGATATCATTGTTCACATTCTTTGTTCGGATAATGCCAAAAAATATGTGTTTGATGCCTTAGTGTCTCACTTTTCTTCTTATGATATCCTTCAGCAGCTTATTTATCCATATACTCCTAAACAAAATGAAGTTGTTGAAAGAAAAAATAAGAGTCCGATAGGGGATAATACATTATATGCTTAGAGGTATGGGGGTACCAAAATCTTATTAACATTTTGCTATTTTAACTTCTACATTTCTATGCAATCGTACACTGAATTGTGTTATTCAACATAAGGCTCCCTTACAGATCTTGTTCCCTAAGCGGACACTTTTTCTAGTCCCCCTTCGTGCTTTTTGCTACACATATTTTGTTCAAGATATGTCTCATACTCATCGTAAACTTGATGATAAAACGATTCGTTGCGTCTTTGTGGGCTATTGTCATCAGTCTAAGGGGTATCAGTGTTATGATCCTTTCAGGCATCGTATATATCACAGTTTAAATATTACCTTCGTGAGCATATTTCTTATTTTTTTTCCAGTCCTATGTCTGTCCCTCCAATTGATGATACTCCTTTTGATTTTCCTTTACCACAGGAGCTAGAACCATTGATCATTGTTACTATAGAGTCACCAGTCTCTTCTCCTCCAGAGCCACTTATCCTTGTCACCACAAAGTCACCAGCCTCACCTCTTTTGTAGGTCTATGTTCGTCGCCCTTGCTCTCATCCCCTGCTAATGTCCCCTCTAGCTTAGGCGAAGCAAATAATATTTCTCAGTTCATTGAATATATTGATACACCTGTTGTTAGTACTGATGAGATTGCCTGTAGTGAGCCAGTTACTTTACCTGATGAGACATTGTCAGTGGAGGATGATGATGATTAGGGCGTCGTTATCCGCAGCGTGATCATCGTCCAATTGTTTGTTATAGTTGGACCGCCAAGACTATATATCTGATATCTGGTTATGTTTCTTATGGTGATCTGTCTCCTATATTTTGAGCTTATAATATAGCCTTATCGGATACGCCAATTTCTCGCTCTGTTTTAGTGGCTATGCGGGAGCCCCAGTGAGTCCTTGCCATGCAGACAGAGATGGACACTCTTCAGCATAATCATATGTGGGATCTTGTCTCTTTGCCTTTAGAGGTGAAGTCTGTTGGTTGTTGTTGAGTTTACATCCTGAAGTTTCTTGTGGATGATACTATTGATCGTCACAAGGCTAAGTTTGGGACAAAGGGCTTTACTCAGGTACCATATCGTATTTTGGTGCTACCTTTGCCCCCGTGGCAAAACTGACTACCGTTCAGTTGATTATTTCTCTTACTGCAGAGTACTCTTGACCTATTCATCAGTTGGATGTGAAGAATATGTTTCTTCACGGTGATCTGGACAAGACTATTTATATAGATGCACCACCAGCCTTTCGTGGTAAGGGAGAGTATGCTGGAAAGGTGTGTCGACTACGTAAGTCTCTTGATGGTCTGAAACAATCATCACGAACCTGATTTTCTCGCTTTAGTGGTGTAGTTGTACGTTTAGGGTTCACCAGATGTCATTCTGATCATACTTGCTTCATTCGACGAAATTTTTATGGACAGTGTATCATCCTTTTGGTATATGTAGATTATATTATTATTACCGAAGATGATATATCTAGGACTGCGCATGTCAAGGTAGACCTTCGATGTGAAGGACTTTAGATTTTTACAATACTTTCTTGGGATTGAAGTTGCTCGTAGCAGCTGGGGTATTATTTTTTCTCAGTGGAAGTATGTTCTGGACCTTCTCTCAGACATTGAACATTGGAATACTGGGGTGCAAACCGAAATCATCACCCATAATTCTAAACGTGAAACTCACTACAGGAGGTAAGGAGTTAAGAAATCCGACTGTTTATTAGACGTTGCTAGGTAGACTTATCTACCTAGCCAACATTAGACCTGACATTTCATTTGTTGTCAGCCGAGTTAGTCAGTCCATGCACAAGTCGTGTCAGTCTCATCTTGATGCAGTTTATCATATTTTTCAGTCTTGTCCTAGACTTTGGTTGTTTTATGCATCAAGATATTAGACTAGTCCTCTAGCCTACTATTTAGATACAGATCATCGGAGAACGTGCGACGGTTGATCTACTACGGGCTTCTGTGCTTTTCAAGGGACTCATTTTATCTCTTGGAAGAGTAAGAAGCAGACAGTTGTTTCCTGCTTGTCAGCAGAGACAGAATATCGGGTACTAACACTTGGTACGGATGAGATTATCTAGTTATGATCGATTCTAGGCAAGTTAGAATTTCTAATGACTTCTTCGTCCACATTATATTGTGATAATCGATCTGCTATTTAGCTCGTTTCTGACTCATTACTACACCATAGGACGAAACATATAGAGATTAATATTCACTTTCTTCGGGAGAAAGTTAACTGTGATATTGTCACTCCATCGTTTGTGAGGACCAATGATCAGGTTGCAGATGTTTTCACCAAACGTCACTTGATCCATTCTCCGGGATTCCGTTGTCAAACTTGGCTTAGTTGATATTTTTGCACCTAACTTGAAAGGGAGTGTTGGAGTTATAGCCTAGTTTATTAGGGTTTTGCCCGTTTTGTCTTCATTTTACCTTTTTATCCTTTTGTGACTTTTATTGTTTAGCTATATATTCGGGGGCTCTACACTTAGTTTGTATCCCTTTTTCACTCACAAATATTTCAAGTGAGCTAAATGACTAGACAGAGTATTGAAAAATAACTGTAGGTGGGGTGTTAACAAAGGCTGACACATGTGTCTATGCCAAGGATATTCAAAGGGGATAAGTGGATGGAATAAAAAGAACTTGAGCAACCTATTAATGAAGGGACCAAACAGAGGATAAGTGGAGTAAAATGCTCTTACAAGCCACGTAGGAAAATCTCTCCTGCAGTGGACAAGTAATGCAGGTATTTATAGTACAATGCCCAGCCCGTTGCAACCTTCTGACACTCAAGCTAACCCACAACTGTCTCAACCGTGGCGATACTAGTGGTCGTTAACCGCAGGCCACGTGTCCAAACATTAACTAGCAAATGTGATGTTTTTCTGAACAGTCTAAAAGTGAGCCCCGAGAAATGGGACAGCTAAGGCGGAAGGGCGTTCCCAAGGTTAATGATCATGACGGGTCATCGCAAGACTATGACCTCGAGAAGGCCATGTACACGATGCCTCCAATGCGCTCCTACCCGGGATTCTCCCTTCCCTCTCTAAACCCCTTCCTTGAGACCTTTGTTAAGGTGTCTGATAAAGAAACCCATATAATTTTGATCTTTTAACCACTAATCCACATGTTCCATTATTCCATGTATTGATCCGAACCAATAACCCCAGTTACGTTAGAAGTCCCTTCAAATTCCACTCAAGCACATCCTAGTGGGCAGTAAGCCATACACTAGGAGACCAGCTCGAGCAGATTAAACCTTTGAGACCTTGCCCAAGGCTAAGGTTGACAATCATGCTCGTCCACCCCCGTTGCTCAGTTCTCCCTTGAGGAGGACCACACCGTCCTGTCCCTAGATGGGGACCCCTCTTCTTAGTTCAGTGGGCTAGTTAAACAATGGTGTTTAGTAGGTTGAGCATACCAATTTTGTCGATTGTGCAATCCTAACCTTGTGTCCTACTTCAGCAGTGAGGGAAACGAGTCACGCCTAGGTTGCCCCCATACCTCCACGGTGCCACTCTTGTCTATCATCGGTTAAAAGTCCATTTTGTCACTTTCGATGTGATGAGGATGTGTCTCGCCTTTCTACGACAATGGGCGCTTGTCGTAACACTAGGTGCCCGCCATGGCACTGTTGTCCATACCCAGCCCTGCTGGACCCTGTGGGGCCCCACTATCATGTCAATTGATGATTGCTACCACTTGTCTCTATATAGTGTGGACATGTGTCGTACATTTATTGGGTACTACAATAACCAAGCCCCTCGGTTGCAATACTAAAACACATGGAGATGAAGTAGACTTTGAGCCACAATAAGTAGCCTATTTTGTTTCTATAAAATGAAGGTCCAATGCTCTCAAGGAGTTTGAAAAATTGTACGGTTAACCATATCAAGTATATGGCGCAACTAATGAAAAATACTTCCGCTTATTATTCTGAAACAAAATAACATTGTAACACAAGAAAGAACTAAAGAGACAAAGTCTTCTCTTAAATCGATTAGAGTCTCGTGCTAATACCATTTTATACAATCAACAAAATATATGGGTTGTAAATTAAGAAAATGTATATATTGCAAAACAAAAGATAATATGGAGTCATTGATTCTTTCAAGACTTCACAAAATTGATCTTCCAAAACTTCTTATAATTTACGTTATCAAGATTCAAGACCTCCTACTTACTGGCCTTAAATCATATTAAGAATTGAAAGGTGTAGATACAATCATTTGGTGTGACTCACCAAGAGATGGTGGTTGTAGAGAAGGTGGTGACCATGATGATCATCTATTCATACACACATTTACACCTATATTATAACACTTGTATCCTCTAATCAAATTGTCGCTCGCTAAATTTATGATTTCAAACTTGCGATCTTAAGCATCTTCCTGCTTAGTGCCAGTAGTCTACTCTCAACAAGGGAAAGATCATGCCCACCATCGCATCATATCAATTTTACACCATCATAGCCAAGAAAGTATTTGTGACAAGGCATTATTGAGTTGAGCTATTATTCTATGCATTCAAATCTCGTAGTTCCTTTTCCACTTATACATTTGTCAATCAAATCTCATGCTGCTGTTTTAGAGTTCATCTCCCCAAAATATGAATTGACAAAATCAGTTTTATAACACTATAGCACGAGCAAATGACAGCACTCGCAGACAGTGACAACTGAGCATCCACCAAAAATAAAATGCAAACATCGAGTTAAATCATAAGCAATGTTACCTCATTAGAAAATTCTCGCTTGCCCTGGTAGGAATTACTTGTCAATACTTTCACTGCAATTTCCTTTCCATCTTTTAACTTTCCATAGTACACAACCCCAAAACCTCCTGAACCAACTTTCTTCTCAAAGTTATTTGTAGCCTCTTCGAGTTCAGATAATGTGAAGCAATGTGCAGCTTCTGTGGCAGCATCACCCAAGGAAGAAACAAACCTTTGAGCAGGCATGTCTGGTTCAAGCTTGTCTGGAACAAACAAAGAATATAAACAAATGATGTGCCAACAAGTGCTTACAATACAGAATATTAATAACCAACTGTATCATTTCAACCTTGCTTAGGATATTTCTTCTTTCCTTTCTGCATTAATAGGCAAGAGGTTATTGTGGCAATTAGCAGAACAGCAGCCCCAACTGATGACCCAATAATGATTTTTCTGTGGCTCCCTCCGCTGCCTCCTTTACTGAGATTAATGTTCCCAGTGTAGCTGAGAGAACAAAAGATTTAGTTAGTGTCCCTATGCAAAAGATATGACATTGGAAAGAAGGATGAAGCATTCCATGGATAGACATTGTTGGATGAGCAAATGTAGAGCTAAATAGATGCCCAACAAATGACTAGGCAATTATACTTGACTCTAACAACCCGTATCACAAATTCAATTCCCGAGACAGCAATGAACAGCTGGTGTTAACAGCTTAAAACACCTATAGTTTTGGATGTTGTGATGAGTTGGTATCTGCAATAATATAAGCGCAGGGTTTTCATGTCTGCACATATTGAGAAGTTAACTTTTCACTGCCATTCATTCACCTTTCAAAATTAAGGGGAAAAACTTCCATAATCCATTGTATCAAAACAAGTCATAAGGTTGACCTGTAAAGATGGGTAGTTGACTACTGCTCAGGCATTGCAATTGACACTGCAGATGCATAGCAGTAGACAAACTGACAGACATATCAGTATGATATATACTAATATCTAAAACGAAATAAACTAATTTTCATCTTGTATCTAAATTAACTAGAGTACAGCTGTATAGGATATTTTGTGTGTTGCAGCAAACTAGCTAACCGCACCAAAATTTGGACCACTATCAAATCAGCATGGATGTTTTGCAAGGAATTTTTTTTGTCTTGGTAGACCAACTCTCCACCTAGGTAAATTGCAAGACCAGTATTGTTCTTCGTGTCACTCATTTCAAGTGATTTGGGTAGGATCCCACCAGAGGGAGTGACATGGATCCACATCCGCATTATTGATTTCAGATATGGAGAGCACTCACCATCCATATAGATACAAGCAAGCGCTATGAAAGAAACAACAATCCATACCTACCCTATTCCATCTGTTCACCTGGATACTGGCCATTTAAGCACCTCTAGAAGCAGACAAAAAGAGATGGCAACCATATTCTAACACTGCTATTTTGTAGAGGACGATGAAATAAAATTAATTTCAAGAACCAAGTTTAAGTACATTAAAAGGTTGTCTTTTTTAGGATTGTTATTTGTAGAATTAGAATCAATTGTTTACTGATGAAGATTATTGCAAATTCTTTTTGGGAAAAAACCACATGTACTCTAGTATTAGAGGAGGCAAATGCTTCAGTTTTTCTTCCCAAAGGAGGTATATGCCAAGAGCAAAAAATACCAATTTATTGCACTGTGCCAACTTTTCTCATTCCTTATCTTCCTATCCCTTTCTAATTTATTGCAATGTGGAAGGAAGGGAACCCAATTAGAAAAGGATGATAAGGCAAAGAATGATAAATGTCGGCTGGGCCAATAATGGTGTAGAGGCAAATCTAGATGATTTACAGTTGGTACATCAACAAAGTGGGTCATACACTGCATGGAATGAGCTGGTTCAAAGTGGGTTATACACTGGGAAAAATAATGGTGGACAGGACAATGATAAAAATTTATTTCTAAACTAGGGGTCAGTATAAAAGAAATTATAGTTTTTCTCTCTCTGGCTGACACTTCTTGTTATTCTTTGTCAGCCCAGCCCATTTTCCAGGCTCCCTATATTTGCAAATCCTAGCCCACCCCACATGCCACTAGTGGTTTTGAATCATATTTGCATGCTTTAACATTTGGGAGAACTCCCTTTCAGGTACCTTATAGTTGTGTCAAGCATAGACTAGTGGGTCTCACTCCTAACAACTGCCACGACAAGAGAATCAAATGGAAAAATTTTAAATCAGAAAATCCTGTTGGATAAAAATAATGCAACTGCATGAGAAGATGAAAGCGTGTAGGTTATATCCTTAGAGGTAACAACCTAAACAGTTCATCGAACTCATTCTGATTTCATTAGTAAGAAAATCTACTCACTTCAAAATTAGATTTTTATTCAAAAGACCTGAAGGCACTGTTCCAGAGAGCATGTTATTCTGCACATACCTGCAACCATTAGATTCCTTAAGAAAGCAAAAACCTTTAACGCTGTGACAGCAGAATAACGTCAACGCAGAATTTATATAAATCACAAATTGAACAAACATATAGCACAGATAATTTGTTAGGCTTAACGATGGCTATCGGGGTGGTTTCCAGCAGCACAAGGAAATATGTGGACTTGAGATTCTTTCTCTGTTTCGCAAAATTTGGAGGGCAGAAGATCTGTTTTACTATACAGGAGTAGTTTATCAACTATAATATTGATGTGAAGTTGTGGGAAGGTCCCCAAATACTATGCCCCTTACATAACAGTGATTAGAATTCTGCAAACTTACAGTTCTCTCAGATTTGGTAGGTCCACTAAGGAAGAAGGCAGGTCACCAGTCAAACGGTTGTCCTCAAGATGTCTAAAATGAGCAAAAATATCAGTTAGATGAATCTTTTGATGAATGCCATGATTACAGGAGAGAAAAAACCTTGTTTACATTATCTTCAAGCTTGTGCATCCAGTAAAATCAGGAATTTGACCAGACAGCGCATTTCCATCGAGCCATCTGCGAGTAGAACACAAGCAAATACTGATTCCAAAAGTGAAATCAACTAATTCATCACCAAGCAAGGAACCCTTTTCACCAGCGCAAAATGAAACTTACAACTCGACCAAGCCGCCCAACTTTGCCAAGTCTGAAGCAATACTCCCCGTCAAATTCTTCCCACTTAATTTGCTGCCACAGTACAAGTGATTAACAGATTTGATTACATCAGTGACATTTTTCAGTTATGGTAGGGATCACGATACCAGGAGCAAAGATTCACAAGTTTGTCTCATAATGCATATAAATGTGTGGATGTGTGCGCGTACAGAAATGTTCACATCTCCATGAGATAAAGTCATCAATCAATGCAGCCTCCTTAAGATTATAAGGTTTAAATATCACAAAAAAGAGAAAAAAATTTACATTGAAACTATACTTGGTTGAGGATCTGAATTACACTGGATCCAGGACCATGGAACTGGCAGGCATGGGTCCCCACCTTCTTGTGCCCAATCCATGGATGAGTAAAGTGATGCTACACTAGCAATAACTGATCCTGCAACTCATGGCAACTTGAATCAGATATGCCTCGTTAGAGCTAAAAGCTAAAATGAAAGATGGAAATGCAAAGGGCTTAACTACACCCCATTTTTACTTTCGCGTGAAGGAAAAAAACACGAATTCTTAAAACTATGTCCATAATAGCAATAAGTTTCTTTCAAATCCAAGAAAGCTGTATTCCTATGGAAGCATCTTCAGTATAAGTACATGTGCACTCGAGGAAGCCAAACTACACTTACCATCCAAAGAACCATCATTTTTCTTCAGATACTTAAGTATCTCCATTGCATTCAGGAGAGGCCCCATGGTAGAATCAGATGTCTTCCCAAACCTAAAAGATAGCACAAAGGGCAGGGATATGTTGTAGTATCCCGGCTCATATAGACGATATTTTCCTTGAGCATTTTCTTGAATATTGACAATAGGTTTCCTGAGATCAGGCCTGCCTGGGAGCAATAACCTAAATTTTCTTGTATCAGATGGACCCATATCTTCAATTTCTGCAAAGTAAGTGAATGCCCAACCAGAACCCGGAAAACCATCAATGTTCAAGTGGTATGTCAATGATCCATTTCTGCCAACTACTGCTGTCTGCATAACTTTCTGAGGTGGTCTTTCGCCACTGTTAACAAAAATTGGCATTCGGGTGGATACTTTTTCAGTTCCAGCAGCAACATCAACAAGATAATTTGCTTTCTTCACAGAGTCAGACTGCCATATTCTATCGAATGGGTCATCCGGATACCTGTGACAAAAAAGAAAGTATACTTCCTATACAAGCAATCCCACAGAACTTTTAATACCAAAAATAATTTAACACGATATGTTTTCATTTTTCGTCCTCTCTTAATGTAGAAATGAAGATACCTCAATCTGTTCCCATTTTTATGACCCAGTTAAGGTAGACCTGAAGACCAACAACTCTAACCTGAAAAACTGAGGCATACCTGACTGGATTTTCATTATCTGCACCAAAATTTATTCTTGCGGAGGCACTCAGAAAAAACTGGTTCTCAAATTCAGTAAGGTACATCGAACCATTAAATTGCCGGAGCTCAAGGGTAGAGATAAATGGCTGCCCGGTCGTAGCATTAGACAGGCACACACTAATGGTAGGATCTGTAGCCAGAAATATCAACTCTTGAACCTCGATTGTATAAGCATCGGAAATGACTATAGTAGCCCAACGAGTTGCCCCAAGGGAGACGTCAAACTTTGGATAAACGTTATTGTTGACAAAGTTACCATACAAGAAAGTTGCCCTTAGAAGGTACCTAGTCCTACTTACGACTTCAAGTGTGTAGCAATACTTTCTGCTATCTGCAGGGAAGTATCTCAGTGTCATGTATTGCTTCCTTGTCTCATTTGCTACAGATATATTAGTTGTCTCCCCATATATGATTTGATTATCAGGAGTCCACACAAGGCCAACTTCATCAGTGAAATTATTCGTACCTCCACAGTCCAAGCTTACAAAACCTGCTTCACATCATTAAATTACTCAGCATTATTCAACCAATTGGAAAACATGACTATCGCCTCAGTTCAAGATTCTATTATGCAACTTTATACAAAGCCCTTAAAAACTACATTCTATGTTTTGAATAAACCTCAAGATTAAAGTGAATTAAGTATCTCATCCTTATATAGGTGAAAGAAATAGGTTGAAAATTCAAGCCAATCTCAAAATATTCAATCTTTTCTCAGTACCCTCATCATTTTATGGCCCATTCATGTGTTAAGTAAAGATTCAAAGTAGCCCAGTGTGTGTATTAATAGACCAACCAAAACAATTCTAAACTGCCAGCTTGATCAACTAGTAGAAGCAATTTTTGCCATTTTACCTGATTTGACGCCATCACTTTGACCAATGGTAACAACTCAGGCTATCAAGTGTGAGGACGGGGATAGAGTTGAGACCCAGACCGCCACTTCATGTGAATAATACCAAAAGGTCTACATCTAATTTATGCCTCCCAACACCTTGCATTATCAGAATGAACACTAGATAATGGCCTAAATAAGATCAGTGAATGGGTTACATCTTTATTGAGGATAACACATTTTTTTGTCCACTGTGGAGATAACAGACGCAAAAATACCTGTTAGGAATTTGTCACAGTTCACTAGGAATCATACCACTCCGTAGGTTTAAAGGCTGGTTATTGCTACACGGGACAAAACCAAATGCAATAACTTCTAATCTTTTTATTTTTTTTTTCTTTTGTTGATTAGGCATATACTTGTCTCATTTTGTCGCATACTTATTATAATCATTTGCTTCTCACAAATACGGTGATACACAGTTCTACTGTAAGCTTTTCTGCTGCCAGCTTTTCATCTTAGCATTCTTACCATGAGTAAGTTCATAGAACAGCCACAATGCTTCTTCATTTCTTAGTACTGAGTGCCACAAATCATGGTCTTTTAACACCTAGGAGCAGTGTTAAATTTGATGATATTTTGAAGTTGGAACTTCAGTTTTGACAATCCTTTCTTGAGTTTTTTGATGACCAATCATTTTTCAAGAATTCTATGTTGAAAATTTTCCTTTGAATGGAGAATGAAAAATATAAGGGGATATTTTGTCAAGAGTCAACACCTTTTTTGATTAAACTCCATATATTGTCTATCACAATTAACCTTATGAAACTCTCCTAACAGGAAACACTAATGCTATTGGGACATAATTTGAGGACTTAATGTATTATGACCATTGAATTGATAGTGTTGGGATTCAATGATATTTTAATGTTGGGACCCACTGACAATCTAAAGACCACAATCATTAAGTTCCTATATTATGTCTCAATAGCATTCCTCAATAGGAAATGTTCCTTTTTGGGAAAACCAGTGCACAAGAAATCAAATGCAGGACTGCAGTAATAATCCAAAAATACTTGTTTGAGTTTCATTGATCAGAGGGAAATATTAGTAAGGAAAGAACCAGCTTCTGGAGAAAATTTCCCCTGCTAGTTAAATACTCATGTTCCTGTGAAGGGTCATGTACCTATAATCGATGAAAATAATCAGTTTACCATAAAAAATACGATGGTTATGTGCTATTTTCAAAGTAGAGGAGGGTGATCTACAAAACGGTCTAACCACATTGAGGTAAAACGAAGTTTCCCCTTTAAAAATTTGTAACTCCTCTGTTAACCAAAGCTGTCGCAATTCCTATATACAGCAGTGTTGAAAGAACAAACTCATATCCATATATGGAAGAAGAGCCAATTCATATTTCAGCTATAAGCAGATGATTTTTACCTGACTGACTTTGAGAAAATCTTAAAAAATGTAAATATTTACTAGCAATGTCACAACACTTCAGCGTTTTCTTTAAATTTCTCATTTTTGTCTTCCATCCTCCTTAAAATTGTGATGACATAATATCATTTGGGGGTCTAGATGCAATGGAGTCCTGGAACTTAAAAGGGAATGATGTCTTTAGGGTGAATGGTAGATATTATATTGCATTCAAGGACTCATGATTTGAGAATCGAGCAAATTGAACCCATTTGAAAACCAACAAACAGAATTGAAACTGATATATCATCCAACAGCATTAAGCAACAAAAACCTGTCACATATTTTTCTTCTCCTATATGAACATACCAACATGTTCCCAAACCACAAAAGGTTCTCATCTTTTCTTCTATAAATGTTCCTAATTACCCTAAAATGTGGTAAAATTCCAGTGCAAATTATATAGAACCCAACAACAAAGACACCAAACAAAGGAGCTAATGGATAAAAAATTACACATAAACAAGAGACTATCCCAATCAGAGCAGAGTCTAGACAACATGTAGATTATGAAGCAAGTAAACAATAAAAGAAAAAAAAAAAAAAAAACATCAAAACTGCAGAAACACAACACAGAGAAAAAAGTGGGAGGAAGAGAGAGAGGAGAGAGAAACCTGGCATCTGAGCTGTGGTGGCATCCATGAGAAGTAGAAGAGATAAATAGAGAGAGAGCATGAGAACTCTAGTCCCCATGTCTCTTCTTTCTTGAGCTATGAAGAGATGAAGTGAGAAAGTGAGAGCATTATAGAAACAGAGAACAGAGAAAAGTGACTATTATAGGAGATGAAGAGATCAAAATTGAAATTGTTTAGGTATCCTTGTGCGGAAAAGGAAATGATTGATGAACAACGTATCTGGGCTAATTCTCTTTCTCCTCCATATATGTTAGTGAGAGAAAATGAGAAAATGAGAAAATAACTGTATACAGAGAAAGTTGGTCTTCTTACAGAGAGAGAAAAAAAATGGGACTTTTCGCTCTAAAGACCAAACTGATAGAAACAGAGAACAGAGAACAGAGAAAAGTCACTAATGAGGAATGAGCAATGAGCAATGAGCAATGAGCAATGAGCAATGTTATTGGATTCCAGAAATTTAACTTAATTTATTAATTTAATGTTGGTCATAAGTTTTTTAATAATTATATTCATAATAATATTTAATTATATTGATAAAAAAATATTTAATTATATATATCATTGTTATACTATCAACTCAATTTTTTAAGATTCACAATTGTTAAATGTGTTCAAATTAATTTATGTACATATTTTAATTATTTTTAATTTAATTAAAAATATATTATTTACGTTAAGACTAATTTTATCAATTTAGACAAAAATTATTAAATTTTAAATTTAAAAGATCAAAATTTATAGCTCGATCTCTCTCCCTCGGATTCCCTCCGGGTAGAAATTGATAGTTTTGTGGAGCAGTGGAGTGTGTGGACTCTGAAGCCTGGGGATGTCAGGTCCCTCATCCACTGCCCAACTTTTCATTTCTTGGAATGTTTATAATAATTAAAGAAACCCACAAATAATTGTTTTTGTGAGGCAGGTGAAGGTCATGTGGGACCTATAATAAGTAGGACGAGTATGATATATAGATTTAAAATATAAATTTAAAAAATAGATTTAATAATTATAATTATTAATTATATTGTGAATTTTAATATTTATTAAAATATTATCTATTCAATAATTATAATTATTAAATTTAATTTTTAAATTCATATAACATTGACCTAGATATGACTGTTGCCACAACAATATATTGAAGTGAAGTGCAAGAGGAAGAGGTTGGCCAAATTGGTCTTTTGGTCCCACCAATTGCGTACTCGTCTTACTCTTGCCCTTTTAATTTAATGTATTGTGGAATAAATATGAGATTAGCCAAACTAGTCTTTTGGTCCCGCCAATTGCATACTCGTCTTACTTTGACTCCTTTAATTTAATGCATTGTGGAATAAATATTAAGGAAGAGTTCTATATTTTGTACCATGAAAGATTTAAAAATTTTTATTTTTTATTTTTAAAAAATAAATTTTATATATTTTATTTTAATGTATTAAAAATATTTTAATATGACTTTTTCGTTAATTTTTTTTCCTTATTTCATCAAAAATTAACTCATTAACGGTGACAAAATTCTGACCAAAAAAAATTGTTGATTTTTGTAACAGAAGGTCATTTTACATCACTTTTAATATATTGGGGTTGCAATATAAAATTTTAATTTTTGAGAGTTTAAAACAAAAATTTTAAATCTTTAAGTGTGCAAAATAAGATTCTCTCCTAAATATTAAATATAAGTGTAAAGATATGGAAATTAGTATTTAATAATAACAAATTTCTGTCGACAAGTTCTAATAATAGCAAATTAAATATGTGCATTGAATGTAATTTAAGAACTATCACGTATTTACCTATGAACAATGTTATTAGATTTTAAAGTTGGGATTTAGTTTAGGAAAATAATTCATTATTATCATTAGATTAAGAGTGTGTTCTAACATTATACACGATACACAACCAACATAACAATAAGTTGGCATTAGACCTTTAAATTAAATTATAAGTAAATTAATGTTGATGCATAAAGTACATCATATATTATTATTTTTTTACAATCAAAGTATCATAGTACATAATCTATATTTATACTATTAATTATGAGATATGAGGGGTTTATCGTCCTTAGTGTAAAACACATGTATTACCCTTTAATCATTCATAATCGCTCATAATTTTTTTTTTATATCTATCTTTCTCTCTCATTCCATTTATTTTTCTACTTTATCCACATACAACTTATGTTTTTATCAATTAAACTTAACCATCCAATTCAATATATGCACACTATATTCCCAATCTCTAATAATAATGTCATATTGTCATACTAATCTTGGTTACTCTTCATTCTCGTTATAGTCGAGTTTTTTTTTTTAAGCTTTCCCAAATGTCATTCAAGAAATTCAAACTCTACAAGTATCTAGGCAATGAAAAAATATTAGTAGTTTCTTAGTTTAGTCATTCTTTTTATGTGGTGGTCTAGTGGCTTGAAATGACTCATCTACGTCCTCTCTAACTTTTATGAGGTTAATAAGGAGAGTTTGATTTATGGGACTCTTGTTGTTTTCATTGGCAATTTTCGTAGTGTAGAGAGTTAAGCTATAGCTCGAGTCGGCCTTTAGGAACGCCTTTCTCACCGTCTAGGCCCTGATGGTGGATTCTCCTCTTAGATTCGAACTGCTATAGTCATGCTAAGGTAAGGGTTCTGTAAAATCCGGTAAATTTAAACTTTTGTAAATAAGGAAAAAACGGTAATTTTGTTGTTATAGTACGGATTGAAAACTTGAATTTTTCTAGATCTTGAATGACGAAATAGACCTCACTGTTGGATTCGTCTTGCAAAATCTAATTACCATGTCAAATTTCATCGAATTTTGAGATAGTCGAATTTTTTGTATTTTACGAGGCGGTCGAGTCTCGGGTGACCAAAAAACGAGATTTCTAATAAAATTTTGAAATTTGAAAAATAATTTAAGGTAAATTAAAATAAAATTAATTTGAACTTGAACCAGAGCGAAATTTAATCTTTTCGAGATGAAAATGGATCCAAGAAAAAAATGGTCGTGTGACGTATTGTGGGCCAAGCATTGAGGAATATAAATAGGGGGAAAAATCAGATTTTTCCCCCATTCTTACGCCCAACTGTTAGCCGATAGAGAAGAGAAGGAAAAGGGAGAGCTCTTTCACCTTCTCTCTACGATCTACAACTCCATAGTGCTCGAATCCGTTCGAGTCAAGAACAAAAGTCATTCTCCTCGCCGAGAGCTACGCGACCACACCAAAACGACTAGTTTCACCGAAAGTTAAAAAATGAGATTTTGGGAAAATGAGAATTCAAGATTATTTTGAGTTCTTGGAGCTTCCCAACATCGTTTTACGCTTCAAGAGGTAGGGTTCCTTCCTATTCGGATTTATTTAGAACCTAGGGTGTAGTATGTAATGGGTATATTGATAAATAGATTTTATCATTACATATGTTGTGAAAATTGATGAAATGAGTATTGAAATTGGGTAAAATAAAATTTTACCTTGAAATGGATTGTGAATTAGACTCAATGTGATCCATGGAATTAGGGGTTATGTGGGCATGTTATGTGTTTATTGTATGACTTGAGAATTAAGTATGTTATTAGCATATGTTATGTAATAACATGCTTGTGAATTTTTGTTGAAAATGAAATGTGAATATATGTTCATTGATATATAGCAATATGAGAAAGTTTGGTAATTATATGCTTCAGATATAAATTGCCTTGGAACTTGTTTGAATGTAGTTAATTTTGCTCATGTGGCATTAATTACATGTGGGTATGATGTTGAAATAGCAATGATGCATTATATTGCATATGCACGTAGACATCACATTTTATGGGTGTGGGTGAATGGTTGACATCAAACACCATGTAGGTCGATGATGGGTGGGCTCGGGGAAGTTGAATTGAATATCCAGTTGAGTCGCATGGTTACATGAAAAAGAATTGAGTCGGGGTAGCAAGAAGGGCTAGACTGTCCCTCGGGTGAGAGACCCGATATTTGGATATGCACTTCCGTTGGTATAAGAGTCCATAAAGTGTGTCGGTGTACACGAAACCATTGGTGGAAGTCTATGAATTCCATGTCGGTTGGGTGACCATTGGTGTAAGTCTATAAATACCCACCCCAAGAAAGACCTAGAGATTTTAGTTAGCCATTGGGTGTTTAACACAAATGGTAGGGGCTTGGAAAGCCCAGTTTTGATACTCATTGCATAGCATGGGGTGAAGGTAAATAGCCGGAGCTAGAAAAGCTCGATTTTAATACACATTGGCATTGCATGTGTTGTGGAGCCAGGAAGGGCTCGGGTAAATTGCATGAATGAGCTTCATCTCAATTCATGACATGGTATGTTAGATTCTAACCTTAACTTGCTTAAGTGTTGGTTGGAATGATTGTTGTTATTAAATGTTGCATGTGAACATTGCATATGCACTTAGGTTGGAAAGTAGTTCTGTAGGAAACATTCTACTGGGCATTGACTCATCACCTTATATGGGAAACATTTCAGATGCGGGATATACTCTGGCGGACGGCTGGCATTCGGGGCCTCTTGGGTGAAGAAAATCTGAGTTGTGGCTTTTGAATACAAGTTTGGTGTAAACTTTTGTTAAAATTCCATTTTGACATGTAACTATATAAATGGCATGTAATAGAACTCGTATGCATTGTGTATAAATGTAGAAAACTTTGTTATACATACTTGGGATGGATTTGGGAAGGTTTGGAAATGAAAAATTGATGAAACATAAAATTTTGGGCAAAACCTACTAGTAGCTAACAGATAGTACCTGTTCTGTAGGCAAAACCTACCGGTAGCTAACATGTAGTACCTGTCCAGTAGGAAAAAGCTACCGGTAGCTAACAGGTAGTACCTGTCCAGCAGGAAAAAGCTACTGGTAGCTTATAGGTAGAACTTCTACCGGTAGGTCTAACAAACACCTACCGGTAGCTCTTCCGCAAGTCTAAAAATTTAAAATTGTTTTGCCAACCCTTTGAGCTTTGTTTTCTTTAGTCCAAATGGACATTAAACGGGGTATATTGAGGCACATTGGACCTCCGTTGAATTAAATGATTAAAGGAATATGGATTATACGTATGGGTTATGATCCCAGTTAAGGGGATACGATTGACACGATGTTGGGTCGTGCGGCAAACACAGATACTTCTGCGGGTTGATAGGTGGACAACAGTTGAAAAAGGACCTCCGGTTTTAGGGGCGTCACAGGTTCCACTCCCTTGCCCCATAAGCCAATTTCTTTCTCTTTTCAATTTTTTTTTGTCCTTTTTGTTAAACATATTACTTCTTAGTTCTTACCAAGTAATTTACAGCCTCGCTTTGATTACATGTTTTTGTAAGCATTTAGTTCTAATGAAGGAAAAGGAGAACCAGCAAAAAAAAAAAAGTGTTATTGCGTGATAGTTTTGTAAGGCTAGTTGGGTTCTTCGAATTTGATTAATAAATGTTTACCAAAAATGTAATACATACTAGAATTTGTTGATCTTGACCATTTATTTGGGTGATAAATGTCTAACAACTACAAGATGATTAGTTTTTCTTGTGCAAAGAAATCATAATGTCACTGTGTTTCCATAAAGTATATACAAATTTCACTTTGTCGTGTAAAATAATAATTACACGACAAGGGATGTGAACTAACAAGTTGGGATAACTTTGTTATCATAAATTTAAGGGTACATAAGCCTAAGTACAAAAACGTTCCCGGACTTTTTCAAAATTTCACTAACACCTCTTGTCAGCATTTGTTTTCTTACGAGAGTAATGAAAATGATGATTTTACTTTAATGCCCTTACCAAACACATATATTTACCAATATAACATAACATATATTAAATTTCGTTATTTACCCTTGATTGAGTTAAATTTATTACAAATTTCGCCTTGATCTTAATCAATTGCATTAACTAAATTAAATTTATTTTTAAATTGAAGTGAAGTGTAATTTAATATTATAATTTATTACTTATCTAAACAATAGTCATTTTATTTTAATAGTTAATCTAATTAATTCCACCACTACAATTACAACTAATGTCATCACCACCAAAGTCATGTCTCCGCCACATCTCCACTCTCCATCTCCTTCACACATAGAATTATGGGCACAAGTACTTGTAACTGACAAACAGACATACCAAACAAATTGATTGTCAAAATAGCAACTACCAACTCACCCCCACAAAAAAAAAAATCTAAATTATCGCCACATCTTCATTTTGCAACCCAGATCATTATAACATGAACAATCTAACCACTAACTGATTTGATAAAATTGAACATTATTTTGATGTTAATTTAATAACATTTAATATTAAATTGAAAAAATTAAAAGTAAACTTTATATCAATTTGATAAAATTGAATTTTAAAAAGATACAATTTAATGTTAATCTAGTCTTAATTTGATGGATTGAATTTCAAGTTGATAGAATTAAATGTGAAATTGATTAAATTGACTGTTAATTTTATGGATTAAATTGATAAAACTAAAGGTCAATTTGGTATTAATTTGATAAAATTAAACTTGAAATTGATGAAATAGAAAGTCAATTTTATGTTAATTGGATGATATTAAATTTTAAATTGATAAAATGAAATTACAAAGAGATGTCAGATAATGAGGTGAAATAAAAAGAGAGATATCCAAATGGGGAGGAGTAAGAGAGGTTAAAATTGATTTTTAAAAATAATTAATGATGACGCCATCATTTTTTAGTGTGTCTGTAACGACTGTTCATGACATGGGGTGTGAATGAAATAAACATATTAACTACAAGGGAGTGCAGTAAGATTTTAGAAAAAAATAGGGGACGCCATTGTATTTAAATCTATTTATAAGAAGTGTTGATGAAATTTATCCTAAATTTAATGAATGGCCCTTTTGTGAATGCTACAGATTGGTCTCCTAAGTTCATAGTGGAGGGCCATTTTGTACAGTATAACATATGGTCGGCTTTTCTTAATGTCTAAGTAATTAGCTAGGGCCACCTTCGTCAACATTATAGTTACATACTTGCATCAAAATTTAATGAAGGAAAATAAGATATGTTTTGGGTCGTTCCTCTCTTTCTCTCTCTAGAAATTTTTGTGTGTATTTAATACACCACCTAACAAAACCAAATGATATACATAACCAATCAAAAGTAGTATATTTTCAACAAAAACCGTCATTTATTAATATACTTGACAATTTTTTATTGACTATACACACTATTTGACAGTGGTAAACCCATACAATATTTTATCCTCTCTTTCTTGCTCTCGGAAGTAATTATACACTGGCAGATTTGTTTCTCAATTGCAAAACTGACATGCAAGTGATTAGGGGTGTTTAAATTTTCAATTGGCTGCAATTTCCTACCCTACCCGATCCTACCCTACCATACTGAACGGCTAGTTGCAAAAATCAGGTAGAAATGCGGAATACCCATCAATTTCTGCATTCCTACCCTACCCTACCCGCAAAAATATATTTAACTTTTTTATAGTTTTTTTAATAATTATAAGAGTATTTGTGTGGTATAGTTTATATTATAATATTGTTATTGTTGTAGATGTTTGAGTTGCGAAAACATGAACTTATTTTTTTGTGTAGGTTACATGATTTGTGGTGAACTGTTGATCTATTGGAGTAGTTATGATTTTAATGTGTTTCATATGGTTTAAATTTAAAATAATTGTTATTGTATTTGTGTAACAATTATGATGGATTGATGTTCATGTTTTGTTATGTTTTATTGTAATTGTTGTTGTAGTTGTTTTATGTTTTAGTGTTATTGATTTATTGTGTTGTTAAATTGGTGCATGTTATTTAATTGAATTGTTAAAATGATCCAAAAATTAATAGTTATAAAAGTGTTTACCCGACTTCCTACCCAATTCATCGAGTAGAAAGTCGGGTAGGAATACCACACCTGATCGGGTAGGGTAGGCCAAGAAAAAATTCTTCGGCAAAGTATCGAGTAGGAAGACGAAAGATTATATTTCCTACCCGTAGGGTAGGGTGAACACCCCTATAAGTGATTGCACCCATTGCAGCGTATACATACAAATAATAGGGATGCAGCTAATGTAAGAGTTCTTCTGTTATATTCTAACCTTATGAGAAGCATTGCCTTCTCATTGTTTAAGATGAATTCATTTGTGTAGAAAGATTTTATTAGTAGTAAAGTTATTCCATGTAGACGTAAAGTCAAACAAATTCTTACATTCACACACGTGTACATAAAGAGAGAGAGAGAGAGAGCTAATATGTTATGCATGGATACCAGTACCCATAGTTTGTACTTGACATATTGCTGTTTTTTCACAATGAGATTATCAACATAATCGGTTTGCGATTGAGACTCAAAATTACAATACTCCTTAGGATTGGAACCATAATATACGAGGTAAGATGAAAATACTAAATCTATATATTTTGTTTCATAGTGTTTGATAAACGTGTAAAATACTTTATAGATGTAATTTTAGTCATTCACTGAACAACATATGTTGCAAGACAAAATTGTCCATGTAATCTATTCACCCCCTTGTGCACCTCAAAATGGACAACTTTGTATAACGAGGATCCGTGTCATTACAAATTGAGTAAATTTTCAAGTTGCCTCGACAAGTATCTTATAACATTCATTGGAAGGAAAGGAGAAGAGAATAAATGATGTACATAAAGTTTACAAAGTCACAACCCAAAGTTCAAATATAGACTATACATGTAGGATATCAATTTTGACTGTGACAGCTATGGACAAGTACATCACTATATATTGCAAGACATATAAATCTCACTCAAAACAACATGACAGCCATCGCCAAAACCTTATATGGGGAAGATGGTAATAGTCTCCTGATACCTGATGGCAAGAACTAGTTGACCTTCGAGCCCTCGCTAATCCTCCGCAAATCTAAATTTGAATACAATACAAATCAATTACCAAATGATGACAATAATGCAAAAAATATAAAGTAAATAATCAAGGAAAAAGAAAATAACTCACCCGATCTCTGAGAGCTGCAAATGGGCTTTAGCATAGTCTGCAAAAAAGGCATCCTCATCCTAGAGCAAAATAATCATTCAGTCAAGAATCTTTTGTGTGCATATCAATGAAAGAGATAGATAAAACTTCATGATTCAAAATGTTTTACATACTGCAGCATATTTCTCAACTAGAGGGCGGAATACTGGATCCTCCAGAAGAGCTTTGTCTGATGGAAGCTGGATAAGACCTTCCTTGTCTCCACTTAGGAGTTACCTATCAAAATAAATCATAATCAAATCAGTAAATTGGTTGTTCTCTGTATATTTCTCGAGCAATTCGGAGCAAAATTACCAAGTACAATTATGATAATAGTTTATTGCAAATAGAAAGCAAAGAGAAGATACAGTCATCATCAACTTGGGTAAGCATATTCAGGAAGATAAACCAGACTCACTAGAAGTAGGAGTTATCAAAGATGAGAGGATTTGTAGTCCAAGGTCCCTCAAAACTAGAATGCTTCTTATGACACCGTCCCTGTTCAATAGTTCCGGGCAAACACAGAAAATTAGTCGACATTATGGCAAATAACATACTCTAACCATATCAATACTGATATTCCATTGAAGTTTTAAAGAAAATGCAGCAGCACAGTTTGCTGAACCTACCAGAATGTGGCCACCAGATAGAGCAACAATATCTTTATCACCAAGCCCCATTTGGCCAAAAACGTCCCTTTGATAGTTCGAATCTGAAAAAATAGTAGGATTGTAGAAACACTAAATGACTTATATAACCCTAACATTCATAGCTACTTTATCTGATTATAGTGAAAGAAAAAAGGAAGTAACCTTTAGTGGCATCAGGCAACCGACCTTCTAGAGGTGGTTCACTTTTGTCCTGAGGCCAATGTACTCATTTTGGTTACTACAGTTATTAACAAGTCACAAGCAAGTTAATTATGTCTACCAGACTTCAATGAACATGAATGGGTAATATTTGAGTTGATTTCTAATGATTTCATACTGTAATAATTCCAAATAAATTGGCTAGCCTATTATCAATTGTTACTCTACAAGGCTTTCCCTAGAGGCATATGTCGTTCAACAACATAGACTAAGTAGCACAACCCTTAAGAATTTGCCAAGACTCAAACAATGCAAGTGCACAATAAGTCCTTACTTAGTCCTAACTAGCCATCCAACAGTGCTCCCTAAGTTCCTTGACCTCACACTCTAGGGAATAGAAATATGGACTCTAGACATATATACTCAATTGCTACCATAATCTAATATAGGTATCAAAGTAGAGACTGACCTGCCCAAGCTTGACTAGAGGCATAAATTTTTGGCTCTAGAAATATGGCTAGTTCCTTGACCTCACACTTTAGGGAACCAAAATATGGCTCTAGAAACCGAAACCAAATTGATCATATATCAACCTATGGCCAACCAAATTTTGAATAAAACAGGACAATTTAATGATGTTGTTGTTCCTACTAGTCTTGCATTATAACATCTCTATCATTACAAAAAGGTTGTACAAATTTAGCAACAATCAAATGAAACGAGACATCATGTAGGGCACAAGTCTCAACTGGGTTTCTAATGTCTGTAAAATTGCAAATTGACAAAACTCTAAATGAAGCTAAACTTAAACTGAGTTAGACCAGCACAAAGAAAATTAGGACTCTAGAGTTAGAGCACTAATGACATAAGTATGTTTTCCCAGCATTTTTAGATGCTATGACTACACTAAAAACTCTAAAGTGGTTCGTGAATTTTCGGAAACAAGCACTTATATGTGCACATGAAATTGGAAGGATGCATGAACTTTGTACATGCTTTTCAGTTAATTACGGAACACATCTGCAATTTTAAATCTCTTGTCTATTTAAGCAATTATTCATTCCATGCCAATCCAAAGTCCAAGCCTGACATGATTAAAGCAACCTCTAGTTCATGGCCACATCATCAACTACATATTTTTAGTGTCACACTACATACTAATTTGTGTGTGCTCAAGCACATGTTGCAAAAGCATCCCTTGCACTTAATGGATGCTCAAAAGCATGTATTTTTTAAGGATTCCAATTTTATTTACTGGCTTACTTATATTATCATTTATTTAATTTTAGCCAAATTTATGTAAAAACTAAACGGTCTCTCAGGGTGAAATGGAATCTCAGGGCCTCCTGTAACTTCAACAGCAACAATCCCAGCCAACTGCAAATGATCCAAACATAACAAGTTCAGTTGTTAGGTTCAACGTGTAGAAAGATAGAAAAAATTCCACGATACAAAATGACAGAAGCAGGACATAAATTAATTAAAAAGCCAAAAAAAAAAAACACTCATAGTTTAGTGATTTAGCATACAAAAATTACCTGGTACAAGTTTGCATAAGATAGGATTGGAAATTGCACCTTTATGGGCTCCAATCGCCTCACAGCAATATCAAGTCCGATGTTGGCTTCATGAGCAAGCTCAGCTTGGTGTTTCATCGTCCCAAATGGTCCCCCTATTTTGGTTTTTAAATCGTAAGTCCCAGTCGAGTGCCATCTGCAACAATAGATAACACACAACAATCGAGTAATCAGGTGATTCTTTCCAATCAAAATAGTCAAAGCATCAATTCTAGTTACTCACCAATAACTAGTAGAGAGAGAGAGAGAGAGAAGATGACATCTCTCTGAAAAACACACTAATATCATTTTTGAATTTGTTAATAACGCAATAAACAGTAGATCATCAATTAATCCTTACACTAATTATCGGTAATAGTTTTACGATAGAAGCAACATATATAGACACAAATGCGTAAAAGAATCTATCAACATCCATATACACATACATGAGAGAGAAAATGAGAGAGACAGAGAGAACTTACGCTAATCGGAGCATCAACGGAGCACAATGCTTCTCAGCAATGAATCCTTTGAGCTTCTTCTTGCATTTCTCAACTGCCTTCTGGTAATCCTCACTTATTGTTGGATAACACTTTTCCATAGCTATCTATTACTTTTTCTAATCAATCTCAAACCAAACAAACTGTAAATCAGAATCAACTCGTAAAAATATCATGAAAATCACCAAAAAAAAAAAGAAGAAGATCCAAACAACTAATAATTTTCATAAAAAAACATTCATATACACTAATCACAGCATGTAGAGCATAATTACAGACCTGTGGAGCAGAGAAGAATTGTAGAGCAAAATTCGATAAAGAGTATGAAGTGATCACGAGGTGAACACTGCAACGATTTATATGGAAGGTGTAGAGAACGAGAACATTCTAGCATTTGATTTGGGCCGTCGAAGACCAGAAATCGTTGTTTGGTATTGATCGTCAGCTTAACGCTCAGATCATGCTTGTCTGTCAAGATTGTGGTGGGTGGTGGTCACCTATCAGAGCATAATGGAGTGACTTGCCAAAGCTAAATGGCATCGTGTGGCATTGTGGAACAAATATGAGGTTGGCCAAATTAGTCTTTTGGTCCTGCCAATTGCATACTCGTCTTACTTTGACCCCTTTAATTTAATGCATTGTGGAATAAATATTAAGGATTTTTATACTTTGTACCCTGAAAGATTTAAAAATTCTCATTTTATACTTTTAAAAAATAAATTTTATATATTTTATTTTAATGTATTAAAAATATTATAATATGACTTTTTCTGTCAACAAGCTTTAATAATAACAAATTAAATATATGCATTGAATGTAATTTAAGAACTATCATGTATTTATTTATGAGCAATGCTATTAGATTTTAAAGTTGGAATTTAGTTTAGAAAAATAATTCATTATTATCATTAGATTAAGAGGGTGTTCTAACATTATACACGATACACAACCAACATAACGATAAGTTGGCATTAGACCTCTAAATTAAATTATAAATAAATTAATGTTGATGCATAAAGTACATCATATATTATTATGTTTTTGCAATCAAAGTATCATAGTACATAATCTATATTTATGCTATTACTTAAGAGAGATGAGGGATTTAGTGTCCTTATTGTGAAACACATGTATTACCATTTAATCATTCATAATCGCTCATAATTTATTTTTTTTTATTAATTTTTTTAAAAAAATTTTTATAGCTATCTTTCTCTCTCATTCCTTGTATTTTTCTAATTTATTCACATACAACTTAGCAAGTGATTGCACCATTGCAGCGTATACATACACATAATAGGAATGCAGCTGATGTAAGAGTTCTTCCGTTATATTCTAACCTTAGAGCATCTCCAACCCACTATCTATTTCTTCTCTTTTAGCTATTTTAGCTAGCCAAACACAAAAATTCCTCTCCAACCCACTCTTTATTTTCCATTTTACCCAAATGACTCTCCAAATGTGGAGAGTCCATTTAACCTCTCTAAATTCTCTGTCAACCTCTCTCTCTCTCTCTATATATATATTGTATTTCTTTTAATTTATTGGAAGTTAGTGAAAGTTAGATTTCATAGTGTTTGATAAGCGTGTAAAATACTTTATAGATGTAATTTTAGAGTACGTTTGTTAACCCAAATTCAGCACTTAAAATGAATGTATTCAATATTTATTAATTAAGCCCATTTGATAACCAAAATTTAAACTCTCCTAATATGTTAAGTGCTCCTTAAAAATAAGATACAATATTAAGTAGGAGATCCCTTACTTAATTCTGAAAGTTGAAAGCCCTCAGCAAAATCATCTTTAATAATATTTACAATATGACAATTATACACCGAAATATTTTACAATCCTATTAAAACTCTAATTAGTTTTTTCTTCAAATTATCCTATATATTCTCCTTGTCGATCTCTTTTTTTTTTCTTTGTCTTGTCTTCCGTAACAAATATATATATATAATTACACACACAAACGCACGCATTGCACACACACAATTACACACAGACATATGCACTACACACACACACTTACACACACGGACTGCACACACACACACACACGGCGCACACACATATTATTTATAAAATCTAATTTATTGTATTTTTTTAATATTATTTATTAGTTATTGTTCTTTTTTTTATCAGATGTTATTGTTTACTTATTATGTTATTCAATTTGTTATTGTTCACTTATTGTGTTATTAAGATATTATTTATTTATTTATTTTGATCAAATATTTGTTAAATGTAGACTACAATATAATAATAGTGATTATGATTTATGTTATGACATATTTTATAAATATTTTTAAATTAAAGAGTAGAAGTGTAAAACTGAAAATTAATTTATTTTCAGGCGTCAACTCTATGTAGTTATTAAACAGTTTAGTTCAATTCAATACTTAAATTTCAGTGAATACCAAACAGTCCACAGTATTAAGCTTTTAGCTTTCAGACTTCAATTTTCAGTTTTATCAAACACCACCTTAGATATTCATTGAACAACATATGTTGCAAGACAAAATTGTCCATGCAATCTATTCACCCCCTTGTGCACTTCAAAATGGACAACATTGTACAACGAGGATCCGTGTCATTACAAATCGAGTAACTTTTCAAGTTGCCTCAACAAGTATCTTATAACATTCATTGGAAGGAAAGGATGAGAGAACAAATGATGTACATAAAGTTCACAAAGTCATAACCCAAAGTTCAAATATAGATTATATATGTAGGATATCAATTTTGGCTGTGCTGAAGATAGCTGCTGACAAGTACATTACTATATATTGCAAGACATATAAATCTCACTCAGAACAACATGATAGCCATTGCCAAAACCTTATATGGGGAAGATGGTAGTAGTCTCCAGATACTTGATGGCAAGAACTAGTCGGCCTTTGAGTCCTCACTAATCCTCTGCAAATCTAAATTTGAATACAATACAAATCAATTACCAAATGATGACAATAATGCAAAAAATATAAAGTAAATAATCAAGGAAAAAGAAAATAACTCACCCGAGCTCTGAGAGCTTCAAATGGGCTTTGGCATAGTCTGCGAAAAAGGCATCCTTATCCTAGAGCAAAATAATCATTCAGTCAAGAATATTTTGTGTGCATGTCAATGAAAGAGATAGATAAAACTTCATGATTCAAAATGTTTTACATACTGTAGCATATTTCTCAACTAGAGGGCGGAATACTGGATCCTCCAGAAGAGCTTTGTCTGATAGAAGCTGGATAAGACCTTCCTTGTCTCCATTTAGGATTTCCCTATCAAAATAAATCAGAATCAAATCAGTAAATTGGTCGCTCCCTGTATATTTCTCTAGCAATTTGGAGCAAAATTACCAATTACAATTATGATAATAGTTTATTGCAAATAGAAAGTAAAGAGAAGATACAGTCGTCATCAACTTGGTAAGCATATTCAGAAAGAGAAACCATACTCACTTGAAGTAGGAGTTATCAAAGATTAGAGGATTTGTAGTCCAAGGTCCCTCAAAACCAGACCTTTCCTTATGACATCGTCCCTGTTCAATAGTCCTTGGCAAACACAAAATTTGTCGACATTATGGCAAATAACATACTATAACCAAATAAATACAGAATATTCCATTGAAGTTTTAAAAAAAAATTGCAACATCACAGTTTCTTGAACCTACCAGAGTGTGGCCACTAGATAGAGCAACAATATCTTTATCACTAAGCCCCATGTGGCCAAAAACGTCCCTCAGATGGTCTGAACCTGAAAAAATAGCAGGGTTGTAGAAACACTGAATGAATTATATAACCCTGACATTCATAGCTACTTCATCTGATTACAATGACAGAAAAAAGGAAGTAACCTTTCGTGGCATCAGGCAAGTGACCTTCTGGAGGTGATTCACTTTTGTCCTGAGACCAATGTACTCATTTTGGTTACTACAATTATTAACAAGTCAAGAACAAGTTAATTATATCTACCTGACTTCAATGAACATGAATGGGTAATATTTGAGTTGATTTGTAATGATTTCATACGGTAATAATTCCAAATAAATTGGCTGGCCTAATATCAACGGTTACTTTGCAAGGCTTTGCCTAGAGGCATATGTCGTTCAACTACATAGACTAAGTAGCATAACCCTCAAGAATTTGCCAAGACTCAAACAATGCAAGTGCATAGAAAGTCCTTACTTAGCCCTAACTAGCCATCCAACAGTACTCCCTGAGTTCCTTGACCTCACTCTAGGGAACAAAAATATGGACTCTAGACATATATACTTAATCGCTACCATAATCTAATACAGGTATCAAAGTAGAGACTGACCAGCCCAAGCTTGACTACTGGCACAAAGTTTTGGCTCTAGAAATATAGTTAGTTTCTTGACCTCACAATCTAGGGAACAAAAATATGGCTCTAGAAACCGAAACCAAATTGATCATATATCAACCTATGGCCAACTTAATTTTGAACGAAACAGGAAAATTTAATGATGTTGTTGTTCATACTTGTCTTGCATTATAACATCTCTATCATTACAAAAAGGCTGTACAAATTTAGCAACAATCAAAAGAAACGAGACATCATGTAGGGCACAAGTCTTAAATGGGTTTTTGATGTCCATAAAATTGCAAATTTACAAAACTCTAAATGAAGCTAAACTTAAATTGAGTTAAACTAGCACAAAGAAAATTAGGACTCCAGAGTTAGAGCACTTATGGCACAAGCATGTTTTCCCAACATTTTTAGATGCTATGACTACACTAAAAACTCTAAAATGGTTCGTGAATTTTCAGAAACAAGCACTTATATGTACACATGAAATTGGAAGGATGCATGAACTTTGTACATGCTTTTTAGTTAATTCAGGAACACATCTGAAATTTTAAATCTCTTGTCTATCTAAGCAAGTATTCATTCCATGCCAATCCAAAGTCCAAACCTGACATAATTAGAGCAGCCTCTAGTTCATGGCCACATCATCGACTATATTCTTTTATTGTCACATTACATACTGATTTGTTTGTGCTTAAGCACACGTTGCAAAAGCATCCCCTGCACTTAATGGATGCATAAAAATAGGTATTGTTTAAGGATTCCAATTTTATTTATTGGCTTACTTGTATTATCACTTATTTATTTTCAGTCAAATTTATATAGAAACTAACCGGTCTCCCAGGGTGAAAGGGAATCTCAAGGCCTCTTGTAACTTCAACAACAACAATCCCAACCAACTGCAAGTGATCCAAGCACATAAAAATTTCATTTGTTAGGTTCAACATGTAGAAAGATAGACAGAATTCCACAATACAAAACGACATAAGTAGGACACAAATTAATTAAAAAGCCAAAAAAAAAAAGAAAAACACTCCCAGTTCAGTGATTTAGCATACAAAAATTACCTGGTAGAAGTCTGCATAGGATAGGATTGGAAATAGCTCCTTTATGGGCTTCAATAGCCTCACATCAATATCAAGTCCGTTGTTGGCTTCGTGAGCAAGCTCAACTTGGTGCTTCATCATCCCAAATGGTCCCCTTGTTTTGGTTTTTAAATCGTAAGTCCCAGCCGAGTGCTATCTGCAATAATAGATAACACACAACAATCAATTTTAAAGTGTAAGGATATGGAAATTAGTATTTAATAGTAACAAATTTATGTCGGCAAGCTTTAATAATAACAAATTAAATATATGCATTGAATGTAATTTAAGATATTTATCTATGAGCAATGTTATTAGATTTTAAAGTTGGGATTTAGTTTAGGAAAATAATTCATTATTATCATTAGATTAAGAGTGTGTTCTAACATTATACACGATACACAACCAACATAACAATAAGTTGGCATTAGACCTCTAAATTAAATTATAAGTAAATTAATGTTGAAGCATAAAGTACATCATATATTATTATTTTTTTACAATCAAAGTATCATAGTACATAATCTATATTTATACTATTAATTATGAGATATGAGGGGTTTAGCGTCCTCAGTGTAAAACACATGTATTACCCTTTAATCTTTCATAATCACTCATAATTTTTTTTATTATTTTTATATATCTGTCTTTCTCTCTCATTCCTTTTATTTTTCTACTTTATTCACATACAACTTATGTTTTTATCAATTAAACTTAACCATCCAATTCAATATATGCACACTATATTCCCAATCTCTAATAATAATGTCATATTGCCATACTAATCTTGGTTACTCTTCATTCTCATTATAGTCGAGTTCTTTTTTTTAAGCTTTCCCAAATGTCATTTCAAGAAATTCAAACTCTACAAGTATCTAGGCAATGAAAAAATATTAGTAGTTTCTTAGTTTAGTCATCTTTTTTATGTGGTGGTCTAGTGGCTTGAAATGGCCCATCTACGTCCTCTCTAACTTTTATGAGGTTAATAAGGAGAGTTCGATTTATGGGACTCTTGTTGTTTTCATTGGCAATTTTCGTAGTGTAGAGAGTTAAGCTATAGCTCAAGTTGGCCTTTAGGAACACCTTTCTCGCCGTCTAGGCCCTAATGGTGGATTTCCCTCTTAGATTCGAACTGCAATAGTCACGCTCAGGCAGGGTTTCACCCCCGTTGCCCTATAAGCCGATTTCTTTCTCTTTTCAATTTTTTGGTCCTTTTTGTTCAACATATTACTTCTTAGTTCTAACCTACCGAAAATGTAATACATACTAGAATTTGTTGATCTTGACCACTTACTTGGGTGATAAATGTTTAACAACTACATGATGATTAGTTTTTATTGTGCAAAGAAATCTTAGTGTCACTTTGTTTTCATAAAGTATACACAAATTTCACTTTGTCGTGTAACAAAATAAGGAAAACTCTATTTGAACCTAATTTGATGACCTAATTTAGGGGCATAATAATGTATAACTATTTGATTAATTGTGGGCTCCATCTAACATTGGAACTCACAACTAATCTAATGATTGCATTGAAACTCCTAGATTAGGTCTAGATTAGGTCTCCAAATAAGTCCCCATAGCATTGCTCACAAAATAATTGTACGATGAGGGATGTCAACTAACAAGTTGGAATAGCTTTGCTATCATAAATTTAAGGGTAAATTTCATTCACATTTTCCGTAGATATGCCTAAAATGAAAATGACGATTTTACTTTAATGCCCTTACCTAGTTCATATATTTACCAATATAACATAACATATATTAAATTTAGTTATTTACCCTTGATTGAGTTAAATTTATTTTAAATTTCACCTTGATCTTAATAAATTACACTAACTAATAGTTAATCTACTTAATTCCATCATTACAATTACAACTAATGTATCATCATCAAAGTCGTGTCTCTGCCACATCTCCACTCTCCCTCTCCTGCACATATAGAATGATGGGCACAAGTACCTGTAACTGACAAACAAACATACCAAACAAATTGATCGTTAAAATAACAATTATCAACTAAAAAAAAAAAAAAAATCTAAACTATCGCCACATCTTCATTTTCCAATGTAGGTCATTATAACATGTACAATCTAACCACTAATTGATTTGATAAAAATTGAACATTAATTTGTTGTTAATTTATTAAATATTAAATTAAAAAAATTAAAGGTAAACTTTATGTCAATTTGATGAAATTGAATTTAGAAGGATACAATTTAAGGTTAATCTAGTCTTAATTTGATGGATCAAATTTCAACTTGATAAAATTAAATGTGAAATTGATTAAATTGATTGTTAATTTGGTGTTAATTTTATAGAATAAATTGATAAAATAGAATGTTAATTTGGTGCTAACTTGATAGAATTAAATATTAATTAGGTGTTAATTTGTTAAATCAATGGTTCTTTGGTCCAATGATACTCTTTATCTTGTGAAGGCTTTGCCTTCTTGAGGTCAAATGTTCAAGTCCCCCTCCCCCTCCCCAAAAAAAAGGGTGTTAATTTATTAAAATTATAAAATTAAATGTTAAATTGATAAAACTAAAGGTCAATTTGGTATTAATTTGATAAAATTCAATTTTAAATTGATGAAATAGAAAGTTAAATTGATAAAATGAAATAAAAGAGAGATGCCAAATAATGAGGCGAAACAAAAAAAAAAGAGATATCCAAATGGGGAAGAGTAAGAGAGGGTAAAATTGATTTTTAAAAATAATCAATGATGACACCATCATTTTTCAATGTGTCCATAATGACTGGTCATGACATGGGGTATGAATGAAATGAACATATTAACTAAAAGGGAGTGCAGTAAGATTTTAGAAAAAAAATAGGGGGCGTCATTGTATTTAAATCTATTTATAAGGATTGTTGATGAAATTTATCCCAAATTTAATGAACGGCCCTTTTGTGAATGCTACGGATTGGTCTCCTAAGTTCATTGTGGATGGCCCTTTTGTACAGTTTAACATATGGTCGGCTTTTCTTAATGCCTAAGTAATTAGATAGGGACACCTTCGTCAGCATTATAGTTACATACTTACATCAAAATTTAATGAAGGAAAATAAGATATGTTTTGGGTCATTCATCTCTTTCTCTCTCTAGAAATTTTTGTGTGTATTTAATACACCACCTAACAGAATTAAATGATATACATAACCAATTACAAGTAGTATATTTTCAACAAAAACCGCCATTCATTAATATACTTGACAATTTTTTGTTGACTATACACATTATATGACAGTGCTACATACAATATTTTATGAGCAATGTTAGAGACTTAAAAACTAGACTTGATAATTACAACCATTGATTTTACTGTGAGTCTTAGCATTTATTGGGACCCACTACCTATTCAATTGTTGAGATTATCAAGTCTACTTTTTAAATCTAACTTTTAAGTCTGATGATACCTCAAACAAGCCCTAGCTGTGAGGTCAAGTCAGGAGGTCGGGTCAAGAGTTCAGAAAAGACACGAGAAACTCAGAAAACCAGGGGTGGAGTTCCCCTTGGGGAAATCGTAGCTGAACCGACCAGGAAACAGCTGGATGATTGCAGGAATTGGGCCCCATGCATGAAACTCTCAACCAACCAAGATTCTCTCCTAAAATCAAGGAGGATCCCATGAATAATGGGTAGAGATCTCGACCAAAATCCCACAGAATAAGGGGCAGCCTTATAAATACTATGCAACGCCTCATCGTAAGGCAGATACAAAGGGGGAAAGGGAGAGAAAAAGAGAAAAACCCTAATCAGTTTAGCACTGTCTTGTATTACATTCAACTAATCAATAGAGAAAAATAGGAGCAGGAACCTCCATTGAAGAGTGGACTAGACGAGTTCCTGATCCGGTGAACCACTATATTTTTACTGTGTACACCCCTTAAATCCCCTCAATATTTGATTGTAGCATCATACACGAGCCTTGAAGCTCTGATACACGTTCATCTCACGTTACTTGCACCTTTTGTTCATCCACGTTGGTTTACGCCATCAGTTTGGCGCCGTCTGTGGGAACGACTGTTCCTGTTACAAATAAGCTAATCTTTCAGTGACTACTGGTGTCAACACGAAACATGAGCAGAAACCAAACAAACCCATGCAGGACCAGCAAGGAGCCACCAATGGCAGACAGCCCGAGAACGTCCTAGGGATTGATCCTTCCATGGGGAATCCCCCCACAACTAACGAGATGGAGGCCCTTCGCCTCGTCAATCAGCACTTGATAAAGCAAAACGAGGAGCTCTTGAAGCTCTTGTAGGGCCCACAAGAGGCACGTCCGGCCCAAGAAGATCAAAACAGTCCCCACTACAGGGACCAACAACACCTTGATCCACTTAGAGAAGACAACGAAGGGGGGAGAACAGCCAGACCTTGGGGCAGGTTCCCCAACTACCCCCTAGGAACGGCCACAATGAAGAAGTACAAAGTCAAAATCTTGAAGGTGAAAAGAATGGTGTCTTCCCTTATCAACAGGAGAGAAGGGAGCAATATTGGGAGCAGCGCTTCAAGGGCATCTAGCAGGAGCTCAACCACATGAAGGAAGCGGTCAGGAGTAAAGCTCCAGTTACGATGGACGCCTTGGTGCAGCAGACTGAATCTCTATTCACGCCTGGAGTGTTGCATTTTCCCCTCCCACCAAAGTTTAGGATGCCTCAAATAGAGTCCTTTGATGGAACCAGGGACCCCATGGACCACCTCAATACTTATAAGAACCAGATGGAATTACACGGATATCAGGATCCCGTACGTTGTCGAGCCTTTGACATCACTTTGAAGGGTTCAGCCTTGGCGTGGTTTAAAAGGCTCCCCCCAGCCTCAATCTCTTCCTTCAAAGAGCTTTCCATTTTCTTCGTATCCCATTTCATAGGGGCTCGAACCTATAGAAAGCCGAGCTATCACCTTTTGAATGTGAAATAGGGACCACAAGAAAACCTTAGGTTGTATGTCCAAAGATTTAATTCAGAGTCGTTAAAGGTGGATGTCCCAGATGAAAAGTTCACCATCACTTCCATCATAGCTGGTCTAGGGGTGCAGTCTAAAGATTTGATATTCTCCATATAAAAAAATCCTCAAGTAGGCATGGCCGA